TTTTTTTTTTTTTTTTTTTATACTTAAGATTAATTTAGAAAAAAATGGTACAATTAGTTATTGGTGGAATTTTGAGTTTATATTACATTAATATTTAAAATAAATAATTTAAATTGATTTGATGTAAAAGTAAGAGAGAGGTGATATGATGTGATGATTAGTTAAAATTATGTGTGTGAATGAATAGTAAATTAAAGTTGATATGATGTGTAAAAAATGATTGGTTGTTATTATATAATAGTAATTGACTGTTATTATTTAATTATATTGATATTATTGGAGATAGTTGGGTTCATTTAAATTTTGAGTATAATTGATTTGGTTTGAGTATATTCTTTAACAAACACACTCTAATCATCCCACCGTGTACATAATAATTATTTAAATGAATAAAATTTGTATAAGATTGTCTAACTCACAGATAGATACAGTATATATATATATATATGTGTGTGTGTGTGTGTGTGTGTTAATAAAAATGCATAGATATGATATCAATTGTTGTAGTTTTATTTATCTTATTGTTAGTGTATAAGACAACTTTACTAATGCGTCGTTCAACACAAAGTATCATTCAATTAAAAGTTGAGTCAATGTTCGAAAAATAATAAATTTCGTATCTAAGATGAGGATATATATATCAACTATTGACTCGTAATATAATATTGGCGTGCCCTAATTTCCTCAAGGGTTGATTTTATTTATTTATTTATTATTATTATTATTATTCTTATATAGGCGGTACAATAATAATAATAATAATAATAATAATAATAATAATAATTATTATTATTATTATTATTATTAGAAGATAATAATAATAATAATTATTATTATTATTGTACCGCGTGCTTCCGTGCACAACAGTATAGTGTTTGTATTAGTCTTGAAGCGGCGTACATAAATTGAATATAGACCAACGACTACTCTGTGATAAAGTTATATTTGCGCAAAAGTGCTACAAACCAAATCGAACTAAATCGAGTTTGGGCTGTTCGAGCTTGTGTTCGTTTACGTTCGAACAATATTCATGTTAGTTTTTATTTATTTTTCGAACAAAAAATCGTGTTCGACTTCGTTCGTATTCGAATAATTTAATACATAAACTTTTTAAATATGTTTGGTTAACTCGAAATTTGTTCGTACGAACTCGAAAATAAAAGAATAAAATAAAAATATTTTTATATTTTATATTTTCTATTAAAAATATTATGTAAATATATAAGATAAATAAATAAAATTATATTAAATTTTAGATTTTTTATTAAAAATATTGTATAAATATATATAAAATTAAATAAAATTAAATTAATGTTCGCGAACATAATCGAACGTTCACGAACGAGCTCGTGTTTGTTCAAGTATTAAACAAACTTAATTTTCTGTTCAAACTCGACTCAATTAATAAACGAACCAGCTTTTGTCGAACTCAAACGAGTTTTTGTTCGCGAATGTTCGATTCGTTTACAACAAAACTATGAGTTACTGACAACAATATAGTGATTTCTCAATCCATAGTCATCAAGATATTTCAATTACTGCTCCATGATAACATCAAAATCAAATCAACTAAACACTCTCAATAGTTTCAAAATCCAAACACTATATGTCACATTCAATAAAAAGAACCCCCAAAAGAACAACAAAACTATTCCCCCAATATTTACATGACCACAATTTTGCTAGGACCACACAAACAACACAAATACACATACTTTAAAAAAAAAATACACACACACACACACACACACACACACAAATACAATAAACCGGTTCACGATCCAGCCGGATGGTTGTGTGAATTAATCCGGGCCGAGTTTTGAGAAAACGGGAAGAACTTGGGCTGGGTCATAGAAAACGGGTCGTCTGTTTTTGTGGCGGAAGACGAGACGCGCTCGCACGAGGGGCACATGGTGAGTGTGGTGGCCGGCGATTGCATGTAAAATGGTGCCGATATCTTGAGGGCCCTCAATTCTTGGAGCTCCTTTTGGAGCCGTCGATTTTCATCGCCCAGCGCGTCGCAACATCTCTTCAGGTACTCGCAATCGACCTCCGTTTGCTTCAGCTTCGTCCTGCGCACGGGTGCGCGTGTGTGTATAAACACCATTTAGTGCGTGTACAAGTGAGTAATAACCGGGGGAATGATGAGTCGAGCCGTGCAATTCAGTGCGGTTTGGTTCGGTTATTTTAGTGAAATATTTAGTCATGTTCGATTTTTACAAATTTTGATTAAATTAAATATAGTGCAGACGAGTTAGCTAGCTACCTGGCTCGCCTGTTCTGAAACCAGACTTCAACTTGTCTTGGTCTGAGGTTGAGCTGTTTCGCAAGGGCCATCTTTTGTTTCTACACAACCAAAAACACCAATAAAACAAATAAATAAATAAATAAATTCCATTAAAATCAAATAAAATAATAAACATAATTATTAATTTAATCAAAGAAACCCACAGGATTAAGAGTGTTATGGTCTTTGAACGTCTGCTCAAGAAAAGCCGACTGCTGTTTGGACAGCCTCAGCTTCTTCCTCCCGTGGGGCCCACCCTCCTCGTCCTCGTCAGCCGCCTCGAAACTTCTCTTATCATTCCCACCGACCAGCCGGAAAGCGGATCCGTCGCTGTTTGCCGACGACGCCTCTTCCGCCGCCCGGCCCGCCGCCGGCCTCCCGGCGTTCCCCGACGAACCGTTCTCCGAGCTCCCTAATAGTTGGTTGAATCATCGTAAGTGTTTGGATTAGCCGATTTTTACTAACTTCGAATTGAATTAGTCCCAAATCATTTTTTTACCAAACAAATTCACAAACTCAAAAGTTAAGAAGATAATACCGTTGTCGGAAGACCAGGTCAGCGAAATCCGGCGAGGGAGAGGAGGTCCGGGGAGGAGACTTAGCTGCAAAGGGCCTTTTTGGTAATAACTACTACTGTTTGCAACAATAATATCCAACCTATTTTGTTTTTCCGATAAATTGGGGCCGTCGGCGTTTTCATCATCATCATCTTGGCTTGGTTGAGATTTATTGTGGATTAATTTTGCAGTCTCTGAGTAGGTTTTGAGGCCCAAAGCCATGCAGAAATTGGGACCTCCATTTTCGAGACTGGTTTTTTTCTGCATCAGCAGCTGATCATTTTCAGAGCTTTTTTGTAGTAATTTTAGGGGTTTTG